TGTGTGTCTTTGCCAAGTGTGCAAAGCATGTGGCTTATGTGTCTTAATACTGAGCCTCTCCTGTGACTACACTAGAAGATTGTGTGCCGCTCAGAACCCCACGCTGCACTGACTGCACAACCCACTCACCCACTGTTTGGTATAACGCCTGCTGTGTTCCGTATACTGGGCTCCCTAGCTGTGGCACTAGCTTTGATGTGCTAATCAGAACCTACTGTGTCATACCCTGGGATGTGGGGACAGACCTCTAGTACCACTGTGCTGCTGCTCCTGCTGTTTGCTGTGAAATGAATCACAACACCCCCCCTCCTTGGAAACACTTGACTTCAGCAATGGCTTCTACAGATTTGGGGGGAATGAGGCAAACTGTTTCCTTGCTTCAGTAACCTCAGATCTGACAGACTCCTGGAGACCCTCTGTAAGAATCTGGCTCTTTTGTGAAATCATATTTAAATACGGGGTTAACATTACCTTTGGCTCCACTTTTATGGTCCATCTGTACTAGACAATCACGGAGAGATCTCCTTCCTCCCCTGCTCGGCTGCCTGTGAAAGCACAGAAACCGGCCACATGGCCTGGTTGCCAAGGGGCTAGCCTCAACTCACTGCTTTTCCATTCAGAAAAGAAAGAGTTATAGAGATCGTGTTAAAGCTGTCTGCTCCCCACAGTTCATCTCCAAATGATGGCTGACAGTCAAACAGGCACCGCTCCATGCCACAGGCTTAGTCTTCTTCACTGAACAGTTTTCACTTAGTTGCTGCTGTGCTGAGAGTGACAATAAGAATCTATACTGGGGACTTCAGAGTTGACTCAGTGGGTAAGAGCACTTCCAGGTTGGTGCCCAGCAACTCAAAACTGCCTGTCAGCTTCAAGGAATTTAATGCCCCCTTCTGGCCTCCATGGGTACTACACACAAATGTGCTCGCGCACACACATACACACACACACACTTTAAAAAAAAAACTGGTCAGCTGGTGAGACAGCATTTTCCACATGCCTGACAACAGTTTGATCCTAAGAGTGGATGTGGAGGAAGGAGAGAACCAACTCCTGCAAGTTGCCCTCTGTGTGCCAGCCATGACATGTGACCCCAAGCATCCACATGATATCTATATATCAATGTAACACAGATTTTCAAAATCCGCATTGAAATTATTTTCCTCCTCTGTTTTTCTTCTCCCTTTCTTCTTCCTCCTTCTTTGTGAGATAGGCTCACCATGTAACCCAGGCTGGCCTTGAACGTCTCATCCTCTTGCCTCAGCAAGAGGCGTGAGCCACTAAGTCAGAATTCCTTCAAGATTCTTCTGTGGGTAAGCATGTGAAAATCATGGACTATACATGTCTGCGGAAAGCAGCTTAAACTCTGCCTGGAGAAGAGAGTTAGAAATCAATGAATGTGAAGGTCTGGATAAACAGATGAGCTGAGCTAAGGGAAGAGCGCCCCCTGGCTGGGTTTTACAAGGGGGGGTTCAAAGGGAAAGAGAAGAATCCTTTGATGTCCTAAGATGTGACAGCCCCATTTGTCAATGATCTCATTGATTCTCTCTCTCTCTCTCTCTCTCTCGACCTCTCTCTCTCTCTCTCTCTCTCTCTCTCTCTCTCTCTCTCTCTCTCTCTCTCGACCTCTCGACCTCTCGACCTCTTTGCCACCTTCCTTTAGAAACAGGGTCTTTCCCTGGGACTTGGGGCTCACTGACACGGCTGAGGACTGATCAGTAAGGCCCTTGGCCTCCACTTCCCCAGCATTGGGATCGGGATGCCACACCAAGCTTTCTACCATAGGTATGGGGATTAAACTGTATTCCTCAGGTTTGTGATCCACCTCCCTACCCCTACTTTATCATTTATCTTTCATCTATCTCTATCATCCCTAGGAGGAAGGTTTATCCGTCCCATTTTGCAGATGGGAAAATTTGACGGAGCAGTAACTTCACAATGTTTGTGATGGCAAGATTCATTTAAGAACACCTGATTCATTCCTGTGCTCTGTCCAGAATCCCTCACTGTCACATGAGGGAGGAAATTAGCATCCCTTGGATTCCTCAGCAGCAGACAAGGTAAAACCACAGGGTAGCAGCCAAACTACTTCCCCTCTTCCTAGCTTAGCTGGCCATTGAATATTCATAATGTATTGCTGCTGCCCTCTGCTGGTAGCCTCCAGCATCTGCATGGTCTTTGCTATCCTTGCGAAGGGGAAACTGTGAGGCTCCACCAAAAGAGGAGCCCAATGTGGACAGGCAGCCAGCTGAAGTGAGCGAGGCTACCTGAGGGAAGGATCTTGCTCGCCCACCTTCCCTCAGAATCAACCTTTCATCGTTTGGAACGTTTCTTCTTTTGCGTTTGACTTCTCCTGTCTCCAGACATGGAAAGAAAGCTCAGGCTCTGTCCTACCACTTAATCTGCGTGGTAGTTTCTTGCGGGGACATAACATGATCCTACCATTTAATATGATGTAATCCTAATATTCTCCAGTGTCTCAACTAGGCAAGTCTAAGTAGCTGACAGTGCCAGGTCTGTCTGTTCAAGCAAGGAGGTGGGACTCAGGGGGTCCAGGTCACTGAGTATCCTGCTCCATTGGTGACTTAGTCACGGGGGACCACAGGGTTCTCTGCTGCCTTTGCCAAAGACACCCCACCACATTCACAGATATCCCGTGTGTCTTGGTTTGTCATTTGGGGTTGATGGTTAGCTCTCTGCTTCACTTTGTTTCCTTTTCCTGAACAAATTGGTTGGGGGGAGGAGCACGGCCCTATGCTAGGGTGTGGGGGGGAGCTCATTTCTGACTGTTGGGAAAAAAATTTAAAAGAAAGCCAGAATTGTTGTCAGGACAATGAAGAGCTCATTTCACTCAGACGTCAAGGCCCTGGGTCTGCACCCTCTACCCTGCACCCCTGCGTAGTCCTCTAATTCAATGGGCCTAATGAATAACTCCCAGGCACAAAAGACCCTTTCAAGCTGTCCCCAGTCATTATAGAGGGGCCTCGCCTAACTGTCGCAGCCCACTCCTTGTTTGCAGGCCTGCCTCTAAATTTGGTTATTCACAATCTTGATAGCTCAATATTATTGCCTAACTGTGATCATTGTCTAATTATCCTAATAATACCTATTAAATAATTCTCATTAAATCTCTTGAATGGGAGCAGCAGAGGCCAGCTCAAATACAACTTAACCCAATAAGCATCGGTCATTCACCAAGTGGCAGGGCAGTCTCTTTAAGGGACTGCATAGACTATGGAACCAAAGAGAAACACGACCATTGCACAAATGTCTTCATTTTGATGGCCCAGTTTGTGAAGATTCCATTTGGCTCCCTCTGAGACCACTCTCTGTGACTTGACTCTTATTTTCCCCTTGTCCCTTGCTGATTTCCATCTGTCACCCTCACAAGGAGAGAAGGCTGAGAAACCTAACAGGTAATTAGTTTACTGAGAGTAGAAAGGGAATGAAGAGAATCCATCTTTGGGCTGGCTTGACTCACCTTTGACAACCCCGATAGCCGACTACATTTCTTTAGGTCTGGCTCAAAATAGCTTCCTCCTTCCCACTGTTGGGGCCTGGGGAAGATGCTCAGAGCAAGATTTAAACATCTTGGGTCTCTAACTTAATTTTCTGGCAGGAAAGATGGCAGAGCTGGGTATTTTCTTGAAAGTGTCTGTGTGGACTGCAATGCTTTGTAGAATATGGGTAGTGTCTGTGGACTGTCTCCACGTAGGAGAGACATGGGTAGATGATGCCTGAATTCTTAAAATGTCCTGGTACTGTGGGGTTAGCTCACTTTTCAGCTAAGGAGTCAGAGAGTTTGGGTGAGTGATTTTCCTAGGACTATGCTTAGCCAAAATAGATGATACATTTTTGTTTGTTTGTTCTAGGAGTCAAACCCATGACCTCATGTAGGCAAGCACTACACCAGCTGAGTTACATCCCTTCACTGCTCACTCTGCATGAAGAGAAACAAATTTAGAGTTCATGTGTATGGGAGGGAATAGAGGCGTGTGTGTGTGTGTGTGTGTGTGTGTGTGTGTGTGTGGTATGCTTGTGTACTGTATGCTCATGCATGTGGAGGCTAGAAGTTGATGGTGTGCTTCTTTCTTGGTCAATTTCCACTTTATTTTTTTGACATGAGACCTCTCACTGAACCAAGAGCTTGGGTTTTTTTTTTTTTTTTTTGGTTTTTCAAGACAGGGTTTCTCTGTCCAGCCCAGCCTCGAACTCAGAGATCTGCCTGCCTCTGCCTCCCGAGTGCTGGGATTAAAGGCGTGGGCCACCACCGCCCGGCAAGAGCTTGGTTTTTTAGTCCTTGGCATCATCTTCCCTCAGCCCCTCCAGAACTAGACATGTGCTACTGTGTGCAGATTTTTACATGGGTGTTAGGGATTTGAACTCGGGTCCTCACACTTGCACAGCATGCACTTTACCCATTGAGCCACCCCTAGAAAGCAGGATTTGAGCTCTGGGCTTTACTTCTTAACCAACATGAACACTCAGGTATTCCTCCTGGATTTTTCTTAACTTGTGAATTTTAAAGGTCATTCATGCAGAGAGAAACCTACAGAGGATGTCCAGGGGAGTTTCAGATCAAACCAGCAGCTTCATGGTTAAAGTGTGAGGCATGGGGCCAGAGAGCTGACTTATCCCTTTGGAGCACTTGCTACTCTTCCAGAAGACAAGAGTTCCATTCCCAGCACCCATGTAGCAGCTCACAACCAGCTGTAATTCCAGTTCCTGGGAACCTGAGGCCCTCTTCTGGCCTCTGTGGACATTGCACTCAATGATCTTAATGATGCATAGACATGCGTGGAGGCAAAACACCCATACGCATAAAATAAAAATAAGTGAATTAAAAATAAAAGCATAAGGCAGTGGACTTAGCACCATATGTCTGTGTTGATCTGTCCCCTGAAGGGCAAGAGTGCTCTTTGAGCTCCCCCCATGCAAGGCCAGTGTCGCTGTCAGACTCTCGATCTAGACCTACGCCCCAGCTGTGAACCCAATGACTGCACCTGTTTCTCCTCTCAGCACCTTCTCCAGCTTCACACCCTGGATCTCCGAGGTCCTCTGCCTCTCTTCCACCTCCTCTAGCTGCCTCCGGATGGCCTGCAAGACCAAGAGTGCACATCATGAGAGGGCTCTGTATATGTGGGAGCACAAGAGAGGGCTGAGCCTGCTACTAGCTGTCACCACGTTGTCATTGCCTCCATTCACTCGGCGGAGACTGTGAGCTCCTCAGGTCTGGACCTTGATGCTTTTGTCCTTAAGATGAGCACAGAGCACAGCATCTGTATATGTGTAATTGGCATGCCCTTTGACAAGGCCCACCACACTGGAGTCTCGGGAGAGGCTCCTGGGATGGCCATGGGATCCTCATGAGTCCTGGACTGTGATCATGGGCTCAGTGGCCAGGGCTGTCTCCTCCACACAGGCTAGGAGCACACAGATTCTGTTTCGCAGGAAGGATCAGCTGACACCTCTTGAAAAGGAGCTGCTCCTGGGGATCGGTCCTCTTTTGGGGGGGTCATCCTTCATCCCATCTTAGCTACAAAGGGCACCTGTCCTTGCCTTGCACCTGGTTGTGGCCCAGGGTGCTGCCATGTCAAAAGTGCCTGTGGATCTGTTACCATCCAGTTATGAAGGTGGAACACAGGTGCTGGACCCATAAGGTTCACAACTCACACTCCTTGGATCCCTGAGCACTTGCTAAGTTTGAGGTTATACTTGGGTTTACTTTCCTTTCTAGCTGTTACTCTCATGGAGTTTCTTTCTTTTTTTTTCTGAGACAGGGTTTCTCGGTGGCTTTGGAGGCTGTCTTGGAACTAGCTCTTGTAGACCAGGCTGGTCTTGAACTCACAGGGATCCACCTGCCTCTGCCTCCCAAATGCTGGGACTAAAGTCATGTGCCACCACCGCCCAGCTCTCATGGAGTTTCTGAGGAAGGAAAGTTGAACAAGGTCATTTTTTGTAAGCCTTGTTCATCTTCATCAACTTTCCCTGCTTTCAAGCACTGAGATACCGGGAGGCAGGACAGTACTTAAACACAGCTGAACAGGAACAGAAAAGAAACCATGAACCACCTGGATGGGTGGTACATCTGTCTGCTTCTCTCTCCCCATAATGTCCATCCTTCTAAATCTCCCTTGGAATCATAGGTGCAATGGTCAAGGCATCCCCAGCACCAAGAGACCCAAACAGGGACATGAACCTCCTCCTGGCTCTTCTTGCCCCAGCTGTGAATATTTAATCCGGAAACATAAATTAGATGAGGATTCTGCTGCTAACTGCTTGCAATTTCATGCGCCCTGTTCTCTGCCGCTTTTGAAAGAGGGTGTGTCTCGATAAAACTATCTCTTCTTGCAGATAAGGCACAGAATCGCTAAAGAAGGTGGACATTAGGTGGCTTTATAGCTGACTGTCCTGCAGTTGCAGCTATTAAGTTGTTCTGGAATGAAATGAATTGCCCCTAATTTCATAGGTTGAGACCCTAATTCCCAGGGTGACTATACTAGACACAAGGTGTTTTAGGAGACCATTGAGATTATAGGGGTGGAGCCCTGATCTAATGGGCCCCCTACCTGTATGATTACTGGAAGTTATTCCTCTCCCCACTCCCCACCCCCTCTCCTCACACTTCAAAAAGACTCTGTGAGGATGCAGTGGGAAGGTGCTGTCTCTTAGCCAGGAACAGAGACCTTGGCAGACTCCCAGCCCTATGTGCCTTGATCTTGTTTTTTCAGCCTCTAGAAAATAAATATCAGTTGTTTGAGCCACCTAGGCTGTGGTCTGTGGCTGTGGAAGCCCAAGCAGGTAAACACAGTGTTCATTCTCCAAAAGCCCACGTCCCAGTCAAGGGTGCCACCACAGGCAGTGAAACCTTTAGAAAGAAGGGCCTCACAGGAAGAAGTCACATCACCGGGAGTGTGCCCTCTCACTGTCTCTGCTTTTGGAACCATGAAGTAAACAGTTGTCTCAGCTCTATCTATACTCCCTGCCATGTTATGCTGCTTCCCCACAGGCCCAAAGCAACGGGGCCAACTCACCATGAGCTAGAAGGACTGACCCTATAAATCCAAGCAAAGCTTTCCTCTTTTAAAGTTAGTCGCCTTGGGCATTTTGTTACAGTAACAGAAAGTTGACTAGTGCACAAGACTACAAGGCTATATAAAGCACACAGTGGTGAAAGTAATAGAATGCTACATGGATTAACAGGCATGATTGTTCTAAGTACTTATATACTAAAGAACAGCTGTTCTTCAAGACCAGGCTTGGACAGGGACAATGCTTATGCTGTCTGCTTCATTTTGTTCACCAGTGAGGGAGAGAAACAGATCAGCTTGGGCAGAAATGCTTGGAGTAAATCATCAGGTTAGGAAGTGATAGGTACTTATGCTTTCAATTAATTCTAAAATGGAGTTAGACCCCAGTAGCTAGCAATTTATCAGGGATTCCGTCAAGGAGTTGGAGGATGACTTCTGTCCTCACTGAGGACACAACCAAGATCACTGCTTTGCCGGAGTAAGGGCTTATGATGATGGCCAAAGACACATGCCAGCCTCTCCTTGCGGTACACAAACCTGAGGCTGAAAAGGTGATGGATGGGAACAGTTCAACCTCCTGAGCTCCTCACCCCAGAGCCCTACTGGGGATTGGGCCAGGACCTTCAGAATGGCCACAAGCCTGGTTCTCAGAGAAGGGAGGTGGGCCTTTCCCTGGCCTGTCTCCCAAGTGCAGATTGACTCCTGAAGGATTTCCCACCCAAACCCGGGGTTTGCTTCCTGACCTGAGCCTTATGGAGTCTTTTCAATTCTTCTTGCTTAACTAACAGCCTCTCCAGCTTCCTTCTTCTTTTGGGTGTCTTCTCCTACACAAACCAACAGAAGAAAAAAAGCCAAGACTAAGAAAATGGGGTTAAAGTTTACACAACCTCACCATTGACTTCTACCCTCACCACGTATGGCTCCAAGCCACTGCTGGGTTTCTAGCATAATGACATCCAATAGAACTTTCTACAATGATGACAATGACCTCTATCTGCACTGTGTGAAATATGAACTCCACTATCCACATGTGGCACTGGAATTGAGCTGTGAATAAAAAAATTTAAGTTAAAATTTCATTTAACTTCATCATCACCACTATCAGCAGTACCATTATCCTTATTATTTTGAGACAGGGCCTCACAGTATAGCCCTGACTGGCCCAGAACTTGATACATGAACCAGGCTGTCTTTGAACTTACAGAGATCTACCTGCCTTTACCTCCCAAGTGCTTCATCTCAGGGATGGAATTTGTTCTTCTAGAATTTTTAGAATCCTAAAGAAAATCTTGACTTTCACATCTCCACACAGTTCCATCATTGTTCCTGGAGATGACCCCCAGGTAGACTGCTCAGGTTCTGGCTTTAGCCGAGGGACCCTCTAATTATCAGTGAGGATCTTTGGAGAAAGTCTGGACCAGGGTGGGAGATGTTTCCTGCCCTGAGAGGATCTCAGCTCACCTGGAGACTTGGTTTGTTTATTTTATAAGCATCTCAGGAGCACCCATCACATAAACACACATCCTAGCATGTGTAGAGTGTTGTGTGCCAGACAGACAATGAAACTAATTACTTTGTGGTGTGTCCATTATTTCTCAGTTTGTAGGTCTCTACAAATACGGACAACAAAATTCAGAAAGATAACCTGCCCAAATTGATGCAGTTAGTAATAGAGCACAGGTATCTTCAGTATGCATATTTTTCCATAGGCAATACTGCCTTTCCTTTTGCCAAGTACTAGGACCCCTGCTCTGTGGTAAGGTCTATAGTAGTGTCATTTTCCTCCAAACAGAGACAAATGAATACAAATTCTGGTGTTCTTGTTAGGTTTTTTTTTCTTTCAACTTGACACAAGCTGGGTCGTCTAGGAAGAAGGGACCTCAACTGATAAGCAGCATCTCTCCATGGCCTCTGCATCAGTCCCTACCTCCGGGTTGCTGCCTTTAGCCCTTATCCTGACTTCCCTTTGTGATGGACTGTAATCTGTAAGCTGAAATAAACCCTTTCTTCCCCAAGCTGTTTTTGGTCATGGTGTTCATCACAACAATAGAAAGCAAACAAGAACATTTGGAGAAGGGTCGACCACAACAGTGCCATACAAGCCTTCCAGAAGCATAGTCCTCCCAACAGGGTTAGGGTTAGGGTTAGAGTGTAATTCAGTGGCAGAGTGCTTGCTGAGCATTGTGTGAGGTTCTGGGTTTGATTACACACACACACACACACACACACACACACACACACACACACACACACACGAGTCTGTTCTTTCCTGCGTCAGTAGAACAGAGTCCAAAGTTGGGGGTAGAAAGTAATTTATGATCTTCTTTTTTTTTTTTTTTTTTTTTTTTGGTTTTACGAGACAGGATTTCTCTGTATTGTTTTGGAGGCTGTCAGTCCAGCCCGGCCTCGAACTCACAGAGATCTCCTGCCTCTGCCTCCCGAGTGCTGGGATTAAAGGCGTGTGCCACCACCGCCCGGAAATTGGTTATCTTCTATTTAAAACATATTCTAGCAATGCTCAGGTTCCCATACTCACAGGCTGTTTATTCTATTCACTGCAATAGTGATGTTGTAGAGAGTAAAGGTCAGACGCTAAGAGCTGAGCAGGAAAAGAGCCAGTGCAGGAGAGGAGGAGCAGGGGCCAGCTGCCACAAGTCCCCTGCCTCAGGCATTCTGCTTTTAGCTTCCTGTGCAGAGGCTCATCTGAGCAGGCTCTATTGTGACCCTTGGGTGGGAACACATCCAAATGCACCCAAAGAAACAGAGAACCCAGAGGCCAAACCCCTTCCTTCCGACTTGAAGGCCTCCTGGAGGAATGGGGCCATTAGAAGGAAGTAGCATGGGTACACCTTACCATCTGGCACTCAGAAGTGACAACTAGCCGTGTGCTAGGCCAGCAAGATGACAAGGAGCTGGTCATGAGGTTTTTCTGAGATATTATTGTCTTGCTACTTCCAGGTGCTAGTGTTAAACTATTCTACTATTCTTTTTCTTTGAGTGTTAAGAAGATGGAGTCTGGGCTAGGCGGTGGTGGTGCACACCTTTAATCCCAGCACACAGGAGGCAGAGGCAGGCGGATCTCTGTGAGTTCAAGACCAGCATGGTCTACAAGGGCTAGTTCCAGGACAGCTTCCAACGTCACAGAGAAACCCTGTCTCAAAACACATACACACACACACACAAAAAAAGAAGGCAGAGTCTAGGTTCTGTCCCATTTGAGTGGAGAATTAACTTAAACTCATTTGAGGAGATGGGGCAATAAGGAACCACCAGAAATTAATGTAATACAATTTACATACAATTCATTTCTGGTGAGGATTGAAGGAACTCAAGAAGCCCACAATTTAAAAAAGAAAATTTCCTACCTGGCCCTCCACCGTATGTGTATACATGTGCGTGCGCACTCACTTGCCTTGGGGAGTTGGAATCTCCCTTTGTGACTGGAACTGAAGCCAAAGCTTCCCTTGCTGGATATGGAAAAGTCGAGTGTGAGTGAATACATTTGCTTTTCCTCTTCCCTCACTAGATATTCTCTGCTCCAAAACTATAAACACTATCAGAGCAGTGTGCTGCTCCTCTGCCTACCCCAGAGGCATGTGAGGGCCGCTGGCCGGCATCTTACCCCTTTGAGTCCTAGGGGACGAGCTTCGATAAAACAGCAGTGGGCTTGGGTGGCAAACACTCGTCTCTGTGTCTGCGATATACAAACACATCTACAGGCATGCCATACTCTGCTCTCTCTGCATTAGTACAAGAGATTTGGAAGGTGCTCTCTGGCATTAACAAAGGGCAGGGTTGCCTTCCCTGTGGCATGCATGTGTTCCTTCAACAGTAGGTGCCTTGGTGCATCCTTGTCTCTGTGCAACTAACTGCATGGTTCGTTTCGTAGCTCTGATTAGAATAAACATAACATTGTCTATGCAATCTGCCTCTAGTGCTTCTTAAATGAAGTTGTGCTTCCCTTGGGGGAAATAACGCATCTGCTTGTTGAAATTTTTCAATGGTTTGCTTATTGGACCACATATTAAACCCACTTTAAGCATGGCACTCGCCAAATGGTTTCAAGCCCGTATGTCTTCTTTTCTCCTTCCTCCATTTAAGACTCTGAGATTTTGTTTTCTGTGTTTTTTTTAATAGAAGACAAATCTTGAGGTGTTCCAGATAAGAAGAAGAAGAGTGGTTGTCAGTTGCACGGTGGTCTGATCCTCATGAGGATCCTGGCAGCTGGAGTTCACATTGGCTCTGAAACCTGGATGGGAAATGAGCCCCAGCCAGCCAAGGCATTGGATGGTGTTCCAAGTGATGTTACCTTTAACCTAGATGAAAGCTGGGAGTCAAAGTCTTCATCTGCAGAGGAGGAGGTGGTAGAAGAGGGAGAAGAGGTGGCCTCTGTCACTGGAGCTCCAAGGCCTGAAACAAGAGCCAGAGAAATCACCAAACCGCTGGCTGCCCTTCCCGCCTCACAGCTGCTCTCTTCTCCCTCACCCCATTTGCTCCCTCCTGCCTACCCCTCACTGCACCTGCCAGGAGCTTGGGAAAGCAGTACCTCAGGGCCACTGAAAAGTTGGCCCTCCACGTTAATTACATTTCTGGATCCCTGCCAAGAGCTCTGCAGCTCTCTTCTCACATTCAAAACAAAACAAAACAAAACAAGGTATTATGCAGAAATCAAGGAAGTCCTTAAACACCCTTTACAGGGCAGGAGCCTTGCTCACAATGCTTTTGGATCAAAAATCTATTATGGAAATGCATATCTGAAGTTAGCTGAGTTACCTAAACACTAGCTCGGGTAAGGTTCGTTCTACAGAGTAATTGAATGCAAAAAAAAAAAAAAGTCAGAGCCAGCTCTTAAACAAATCGCCCTTCTGCGGCTCGCAGCATCTGGCACCCATTTTTACTACACGACATCTGCTCAGTGTAAAAGAGCTGGCGTCAGAATGTCTGGTCATAGAAAAAAAAATCCCAAATGTAATCAGAAGCAAAAGGACTCTAAGCCTAAGGATTTTATCACATAGCCTCATGCAACATAAATATTTCATTAATTATGGCTAAACAAATGCCACTTTTATTTTCCCAACTTGCAGATATTATCACATCATGGAAGGGATGATTCAAATGCCAGAAAAAAAGCGGTTTAAGATAGGGATGGCCCAACAAAGCAGGCCCATGGGAAGCTAAAGCTGAGGGGCCATACCAGACTGCAAACATGAACTGGATGGCTGAGGACCGTAATGTGCCCATGTTGACCAAACACCTTTTTGTGATCTGGCTGGGGACCAGGCATGATGGGGCTTCCAGGTGCTACAGGAGACTTTCATTTTTTCTCAGCAAGAACATCTGCCCCTGCACATACACCTGATGGAGTCTATGCCAATGCCAGGATGAACCCATGCTGGTCACTGCGCTGCAGAACCTACTCGAACTTAGTGATGGCAATCAGACTCTACAGTGGCAACTCGTGTCTGCATAGAGCCATGGAGTTGGTAGAGAGAAAAGGGAAGTAATTCCAAGTCAGCTAGCATCCTCTCCAGCCTCCCTATAATTTTCAACTATTCACCCCAGTGGGAGCAGCCAAGTGTTACAAAATAAGGGTAATTTTAACCTCCAGCAACACATTTACATATGCTCTTATTCAGAGTAAAATAATACAAAACATGCATATAACAACCCAGCCTCTCTAGGGAGGGAGTTTGCTGTTTTCCACTTTAATTTGCCAGATGGGAAAGCTCAGGTAAAGATAGAATCAGAGAATGGCATCATCGCCATAGGAGGACTTCTCTTTGGGGAGGGATCACATCCTGCTTCAGCTACTAAGGCACTGGGCACCAAGTATAGAAGCTAGAGGAACAGACTTTATGCCCTTGAATTCTACTGTCATGATTCCTATGTGCAGAATTTCTGTGCACAATCAAAGGCCCTGACAGTAGCTAGTATATGGGAGGTAGCTATTGGGAATGTTTAAACGTGTTTTATTCACTCCTCTTCTCATTGCTGGGACCAAATACCTGATATGAAACAACTTCATGGCTGGGGATGTAGCTCAGCTGATACATCCCTTATTCAGCATGCAGGAGGCTCTGGACTAGATTCCCAGTCCTGGATTAGATTCTCCTGTCTGGGAGACAGAGACAGGAGGACCAGAAGTTCAAGGTCATCTTTGTCTACATAGGGAGTTTGAAGTCAGCCTGAGGTAGAGACTGTCTCAAAAGAGTCAATTTGTGGGAATGAGGGTTTATTTTGGCTCACAATTTGAGGATACAGTCCATCATGGAAGGGAGGCATGGAGGCGAAGGCTGCTCACTCGCCTCTGAGTATTGGGGAGCAGAGAGATGAATGCTGCCACACAGTTCTTTTAGTCCTTTGTAATCAGTCTACTCATCCAGTCCATGAGATGGTGCTGTCCACATTCAAGACAGGTCTTCATCCTCAATTAACCCTCTCTAAAAACATCCTTGCACAAGACCCAAAGGTGTGTCTCCTAGGTGGTACTACACCTTGTCAAGTTGACAACCAATATTAACATCCCAACTGTTTCCTACCATCTTCATTGCTATCACTGACTCAACTAACAACACTTTCATGGTACTACAACTGCCTAATTGACCTTTATGTATGGGAGAAGTATAGGTGTAAAGTTGCAACGTTTTCTAATTTCACAAAGTAAATATTCTGTACAACTTCACTTGGAAACTAGCTTCTAAAAATATGCACCTCCTCAGGTGTCTCTCCTCTAGTTAATGGAGTACCAATTGTTCTGAAGGTCACTTTTCCTTTGCAGTTCTTAAGGACTTTGCAGCATCGCTCCACTACACTATGTTAGAATGGCTGACTTTGGAATTGACTTCCCACCAGAAAGCAGTAGAATTCAGGACACAATGTATGAAGCATCTTTCCCAGACATTTGCCAACACGCAGTACAGAAAGATGTAAAAGATAAGAGCAGAAACCCATAAAGAAAGTCCTATAGCCATAGATGTGTCTGTCCTGGGGTCCTTTGCTGACACAGAAGAAAGGCAGTTGAGCATTTGGTCAGGTAGAGAAAGTGGTCATGTGTAGGATGGAGCCCTGGAGAGGAGGGAATGCTGTGAAAAAAGAACTTTAGAAACTAAAGTCCATGTGTATCTACTGCTTAACAGCAATCTAAAGATGTATAAAAGGAAACTACCTGGTTGGGTATACAACTACAGAGAAGTTGCAGGCTCAACAGTCTCTACTGCAGCAGTTCTCAACATTCCTAATGCTGTGACCCTTTAACACATACAGTTCCTCATGTTGTGGTGACCCCCAGTTATAAAATTATGTTGTTGCTACAGTTATGAGTCTTAATGGAAATATTTTTGGAGATAGAAGTTTGTCAAAGGGGTCCAGACCCACAGGTTGAGAACCACTGTTTTAAGCTTTCCTGGGTGGGAGATGCTCTGATTGTCCCTAGTTAGAGTAGCACAGACACCTGGGGCATTATAGAGATCACAGGAAACTTACTTTACTAACAGGGATAGATTAGTGCTAAAGTAACACTTATCATAGACACACCTAACAAATGTAAAGATAAAGCCTTGGAAGGAACAGAGTGATCTTAAAGTTATTCTACTGCTTATTCAACATTCTTTAGTCCCTGTTTAACATTAAAAAATAAAATCCAGTTACTTTTTACTTTTCAACAAAATACTCATAAACTATCAGTTGGTAAATATTGACTATGTATACACACACACACACACACTATTTGTCTAATAATCAAGAGAAAAATCTTTCAATAAAAACAGATCCAGAAGTGACTGATAGGATGAAATTAACAGACAAGTATTTAAATTATCATAATTGTGCTCAAGAAGTTCAAATGTATGCTACCAAAACAATCTTGAGAACTAACAAATTTAGTAAAGTAGTAGTATATAAAATTAATGTTACTGTGGTTAGCTCCTTTCCCTCTTATTCCTCCTGCTCCTTTCTCTCCCCTCTTCTTCCCCTCCCTCCCTCCCTCCCTCCCTCCCTCCCTCCCTCCCTCCCTCCCTCCTTCTCTTCTTCCCTGGTTCACTTTTGGCTTAGTGCTGAGAATTAAACCCAGAGAATCATACATGCTAAGCTTGAGTTTTACAGCAAAACCAAATCCTCCACTCCAGTCAGTAGCATTTCTGTCTACTTACATACAACTGTATAACAGTAAATCACAGAAACTCACAGAGTGGAGAATCTAATGAAATGCTGACCCCTAGAACTAGTAGGTGAAGGTGGGGGCTGGGGAGATGTTCAAGGATATGCCATTTCAATTCAATAGGATCAAGATTAAGAGATCTATTTTACAGCATGGTGACTGTTATTGTTGGGATGTAAAATGTCTGCCATAGGCCCATGTGTTTGAACAGTTGATTGGAAGGTGCTTTGGAACCCCTAGGAGGTAGAGCCTACTTAGATGAAGAAAGTCACTGCGGAATGGACTTTGAATGCTACTATGCACTGTTTCTGGCTCAGTTTCTCTGCTTCTTGACTGTTGATATGATGAAAACATCAGCCTCTAGCCCCACAGCCTAGATAGGAGCTGGTCTGACAACAATGTGTTCCCTGCCGTGCAACAGCTCAGTGAGTAAGGCAAACATGAAGACTGGAGTCCACATCCCCAGAATTCACATAGAGCCAGATGTACACATCTGCAGTCTCAATGCTCCCACTGTGGGAAGGGAGGCTTGAAGGTCAGTTAGTGTGGAGTATATAATGGTGAACCACTACAAAAGAGACAGTCTGGGGCTGGAGAGATGACTCAGCAATCTTGGGACTGGAGAGACCCAGCAGTTAAGAGCACAAGCTGTTCTTATAAAGGACCTGGGTTTGATTCCCAGCACCCACATGGTAGCTTACAACTGTCTGTAATTCCATTTCCAGAGGATCTGACACCCTCTCTGAATGCTGCATGACCTCGGTCTGTAGACATACATTTGAGCAAAACACTCACACATATCAAATGAAATTAAAATCTCAAGAGAGTGACCCTGTCTTAAACATGCAGAAGGTGAGGACCACCCTAAAGTTGTTCTTTGACCTCCCCGTGTGTGCCATGGCACTTGCACGTCCCCCCCCACTCATACACATCACACATACACATGCACACACAGATACATACATTAAAAAGAAAGCCGGGCAGTGGTGGCGCACGCCTTTAATCCCAGCACTCGGGAGGCAGAGGCAGGCGGATCTCTGTGAGTTCGAGGCCAGGCTGGACCGACAGCCTCCAAAACAATACAGAGAACCCCTGTCTCGTAAAAAAAAAAAAAAGAAAAAAAGAAAGAAAGAAAGAAAGAAAGAAAAAAAAAAGAAAAATATGTATATGATCCCCAAGTTACAAAACTGAAACTATAAAAACAATCAGAAAAAAAACAACAACTGTAGTTGGGGGTGTTCCCTCTACTCTCTTAGTAATTGAGAAAATAACCAACCAATGTAAGAGTTCTTGGTATGAGCATCACCGAAAAACTGAAGCACACTTCACATTATGGACACTTTACTCGACAACAAAATCCCACAGGACAAAAACAACCTCCCCACTCCATTGTGTATGTATACTACATTTTCTTTATTTATTCATCTGTTTTTTGTTGTTGTTTTGGGTTTTATGTGTGTGTGTATGTATATACATATATACACACACACACACACACACACACACACACACACACACACACACACTTCCCCCATTGGTTTGGTTTTGAGACAGGATCTCAGTGTAGCCCAAGTCGTCTTCCACCTCTCAGTTCTCCTGCCCAAGTGCAAAGACTGCAGACCTATGCTGCCACACGGGGATCTCTCCATCTGCACTTAGGCTGACTGACGCTATAACTTGGCTGTTCTGAATAGTATTCAGTGTGCATGGGTGTGTGGGACTGTTGTGTGCTGACTTGGATTGTTTCAGGTGTGTAAGTAGGTGTGGGACATTCCAGTTCCAGTGTTCAAGGGACCTTCATACCAAGTTTCACAGTAGCTGAACTAATTTATATTCTATTAATAACACAGAAGATTCTCTCATGTATGACCCAATTCCATTCTCATTGGCCAGCATTTATAGTTTCCTTGGTGGCCCTTCTGATTGGGTGAGATGGAATCTTAAGGCAGTTTCGATTTGCATTTCCCTGATGGCTAAATAAACATTTTATGCATCTATTGGACATTTATTCTTCTATTATCCAGTTTATTTTCCTACTTATTGGTTAGATTATTTGCTGTTTGGGTGTTTAATTTTTTAAGTTCTTAATGAGTTGCATATGAATCTCTAATCAGATGAGTAGTTTCAAAGATTTTCTCCAGTTCTTTAGAATGCCTTTTCACTCTGTTAACAGTACTTTTTGCTATGCAGAAACTTTCTAATTGGATGGATAAATTCATATTTATGCAAATGGATTGAGTTCCCAGCTATCTTTTCTTTGTCCCCCCCCCCACCTTTGGAGCTAGTCTCACTATGTAGCTCAGGCTGGCCTCAAACTCACACTCTTTTTGCTTTAGACTTGTGAGTATTGGGATTACAGGCATGCACTACCATATCCAGCTATATGCCTTTTAATTTTAAAACAGATAAATGTACTATCTATTAAACATCTATTACATGGGTCTGGAGAGATGGCCCAGTTAGGAACATTTGTTGCTCTTGCAGAGGATCCAGGTTTGATTCTAAGCACCCAAAACAATGGTTTGACTCTAAGCATCCACAACAATGGTTCACAACCATCTGTAATTCCAGTCCCAGGAGATCAAATACCCTCTTCTGGCCTCCATTGGCACCTGGCATGCACATGGTATACAGACATACATGTAAGAAATATATGCATATACACAAAATAAAAAGTGACTAAATATAAAAATCAAATAGATATATAATAAATGAAATTTCATAGTGTGTGATTTTAAAAGAATTCTTACATCTCAGCTTACCTATGCTTATTCTAAGCTTGGCTGCAAATAAGTTCTCTTGTTAATCTATACAGATATTTGATTATGGTGCAAAGAACATAAATAATTTCTTGATAACTGATTATCTTTTACAATTTAAAAAAATTAAAAGGAAAAATATAAAGAAAACCAGAATTTTTGAAAGGGGTCAAATGAACCACTTCAGCAACAAAAGAAACCATTGTCTGGAGAGACAGCTCATGGGGTAAGGATGCTGCTTGCTGTGCAAATGTGAGGACCAAAGTTAAAATCCCCACATAAAAAGCTGTGCATGGCTGCACCCACTTTTGCAATCCCGGCGTTGTAGGGGAGTGGACAGGAGGATCATGGTGGCTTTCTTACTACCAGCATTATTCCAGGTTCAGTGAGAGACACTGTCTTAAAGGGAATAAGAAGTCAGGGAGCAACTGACCAGGACACCCAGCAAGTCCCTCTAGCCTAGAGGGCACACACACGCACACATTCATACACATGCATGTATACCACACACTCACATACCCACATTAAAAACAACAACATCATGTATGTGTTTAAGCTATCTTTAAAGAAATACACTAAGTGTTTGGCAAGGTGCAGAAACAATAACATGTTCTGCTTTTTGCTAGGTATTTCCGTAATGTTTGATTACTCTGAATCTTTGATATATTAAATAACGAGCAACAACCAGGCTTAAATATAAAAAGTCTCTATTTTCATTGGTAATCAAACATACAGAAAAGTGGTTAGTAATACAAGGGAAACAAAAAGGTACATGTACAAAAATGTGCAACCAGCACCATCCATACATTATAAATACATTCACCTACAAGTATGTGTATGTATAGATATATTACATATATACTTATAAGTTAAACAATCAAATAATGGTTCATTAAATGACAATATTGCCACAAGATAAAACAGCCTTTTAAATCACATGTATATAGATTCTGTGATTATTTGTATAATACCTAGACTATAAAGTTGATACTTTAAAATATACACTTGTAAGTACATCTCAGCAAAAATATTACATACTCACAGAGAAAAGGGAAGTGCTAGGATTATTGTTAATTTAACTCTAACATAATTTCAATTTCTTTTAGGTTTTATCTTACAAAATTTTCAAGTTTCCTTACATTTTTTCCAATTACATTCATTTGTGTATTGAAGAAGGGAGGAGCACAGGACAACTTGGGAGAGCTGGTCCTCTCTCTCCACCATGTGGGTCCTGGGGATGGAACTCAGGTCATTGAGCCAGGTAGCAAGAGCCTGAAAGACCAGCTGAGCCATCTCCCCAGTCCCAACTTTTCCCTCTTTTGTCAGAATGAACTGGAGAAGTAAATCAAAGTGCACAGTGCCTGTTAGTAAATCCAGGGAGACCACTAACTGCCCAGCAGGAACTCTAGACTCCACTACTAAGCAAGCCACTTACGTGCATCTCTCCCTGTAGAAGGCTGTGCCACCTGCCCCAGGGAGGTGCTGCCCAAAGGCTGTGCCAGCTTCTCCAAGGATGGGACTCTGTTCCCCGGTGGCCCCTTTTCTTTGGAGCTAGTAAAGAAGTCCCCAATGTCCTTTCTTTGTTTACATTCCTGGAGAAAGCTCTCAAAGGATTTATCTTTGAGGCCAAGGTTGGAAATACGCGAGGCTCGTTTCTTTGGAACCTGAGTGGCATCCTGCAAACTCACTTTCTCCAGGAGGGTGGGGACATCTTCAGTCTTGCTGCCGGGTGGGGGCGATGTGGTTGCAGAGAACATTTTGGAGGGACGATTGGGCAAACTCCGAGAGCGGAGAATGGGGTCAGGAAGGCTAAGGTCTGAGGCCTGGGCAGCCTTAGAAGTTGGAGAAGCCAAAGAGAAGAAGGTTGAGGCCTTTTTGGCCATATGTCTCCCTGGAGACTGCTGGTCCCCATCTTTATTGGAACTGGGTTTCCGAAGACTAAAGGAGCGAGTAAAGCCATGTGGCTGGCCCCGAGGTGATGTTTTTGACTCTGGTTTAGGGCAGGTCTTCTTTCCACCTTCAGAGTTGGGGAGCAGAGACTTTAGGATGGCATTTGCTATAAGCCTTAGGGGGGACTTGGGTGGAGGCACTTCTCTCTCCCGCGGCACCTTGACAGCTGGAGTACGCATCTCCTCCCGGGTCCCCGTCTGGGATAGCAACTTCTCTTTCACTGTCCGAGGAGAGGTAGAGGAGCAGAATGGTTTCAGGGTACAGTTTCTGCCATTCTCAGCTCTTTCCTGGGACAGCTGCTTCCCAGCCTTGTGCTCAGGGGTGGAGTCACTCCAGTCTAGCAACATGCTCTTCTGTTCTGGTGTAAGGACTAATTTCTTCAAGCCCAACTTCCTTTCTTCAGAGGGCTGTGGCGTACCTGTTTGGTCTCTCCTGGGTCCCTCCCTCACTTCTCTTGGGTTCCCTGCAGCCCTAAGAGCTATGTTTTGATTGTGCAAATACTGGTCCTTCCTTGCAACGGGGTGGTAATCTTTGTACATGCTTTTGGTGCTCCCAAGAGGAGCCCGTGCTTCCTGGCAGTCCTCTGAAGTCATCTCTGTAGAGTTGCTGAAGTCTTCCCCACCGGGGCTGACCAGGCCTGTGCTCTCCAGCATGGGAACATGAGGCAGATAGAGAGGAATTTCCTTCGAGATCCCTTGAGCCCTGGCACGTCTCAGGTATAGTGGAGTAGGGCTGCAATCACCTCTGGATACAGGTGGGCAGTGGAGGTTGTATGCTGGCACCTACAGGGGATGGGCAGAAATACCAGTTACTTAAAGCCCCTAATGTTCGTTTTTGTGGGGAAGGTGAGCGTCGATGCACACCTCACCTCCTTCCTTTCTCATGCTCTTAGGTACTCAAGGTCAGAAGGGGGCTTCAGAAGGGTCGTTCTTTGTTCTAAGTGGCTGTTTAGCACTTGCTGGCATTTACCTGCAGTCCCTAAAAATGCTCTAATCAAAGACCATTAAAGTCTCTAGAATAAGTGGAGGAAAAGCCAGAAGGGAAAGCTAGGGCATGGCTGCTGCTCTTGACAAGCTCCTGAGCAGTCAACATAGGTAGGACAGGGTGGGTTCCTCGTGGTTCGCTCAAGCACTGCCTTTGCTAAAGAGGACCTTCTTCCCATAGGTATGCTTTCTGACATCCGACAAGTCAGTTTCTCCAAGCATGGTTTGTGGGTCCTCAAGGTGAGGAGTTATCCTTCTGAGCTGAAGCGCTGGTAGTGAAGGATGGCCTTTGGGACTTTCCGAGGACCCTTCTAAATGTCACACCATGCACCACCGTGAAATCAATGTTTGTAGTATATGGGAACTTTGAAGAACAGACGTGGACTCTACAAAGAGTGGTCATGCCCTGCCAGGAGTCCTGGTGCTTGAGATGCCAGCCACAGGTCAGAGGGCTTTAAAAGAGTGCACACCTTTTCTGTCTTGAGGGCTCTACTGAGTCTAGTGCAGTCCTAGCAGATTACAGAGACTGTATGACACATATGGAAGCAAAGTCCAGTTACCCATTTCAGTGACACCGCTTTCTAGGTAGACATTTCTCTAAAGGTCCTTGAATGCTACTGAGACCACCCTTATTCTGGACCTATCGCCCCTGGGCTGTTCTTCCCTGTGTGAACTTCCTCGAGGGCATATGTACTATGCCCATCTCCCACACAATGCTGAAGGGGGTGACTGTGTTCATGAGGGTGGCCTAGGATGAGTTTTTATGAAAGGCACATGTAAAGAGTGTCTGGAGGCCCACAGCAGAGCCTGTCTCTGCCCTGGGGTTGCACTTGCAAGGGACCTGTGAGCACTTAGAATCCAGAATTAAGTGTGGCAGTAATGAGGAGTGTGGAGGCCCTCAAGAGCACTTACCTGAGGTGGGGAGGAATTATCTGAAGTGTGCCCAAGTTCACTGGCCAAAGAAAAGGCAGATGACAGGGAAGATGAAGAAGATAAAGATGGAAGAGGAGGAGGAGGCTCCTTTGGAGGTGATGGTGCTCTTCTGCTCATGGGTGTTGAACCTATCAAGGAAACAGCATACTTCATTATTGCCTTGTGTTTAGCATAAACAGAGAAGACTGTGGGCGGATCCTCAGTTTTAAGAAGGAAGAGGCTGGGGATGGATTCAGAGGGCAGTCCCTAGTGCCCACAGCATGGGACTTGGCAGCAGGGCCCTGGAGGAGAAGCCATGCCAGTCAGTGTTTCCGACTTCTGTAAGATTGTTCCTGGGAGATGTGAGCCCAACCCCCAGAGTGCTTTTTGGAGATGGACATTTACTGCTAACGTTTCCCTGAAGTCATCGTGGTCAGGAGCTGGGGCTGCACTAAGTCTCTCCATCAATAAACTACCTGAGGTTTCTTTCCACAAGACCATTAGTTGTGGGCACAGGCAGGGCAGATGCTAGTCCTAATGAATGGGTTCTCCCTCTCCGTGTGTGTTGCTGAGGGGTTCTCAGACAAGGTGGTTAGCTTAAGATCTTATGGGAACCCGAGGGAGGGAAGCTATACCCATATCAGTGATCTGAATCACGCAGAATTAATTGGCCTGACCAGACTTCTGTGGCTCAGGGAACAGGCAGGAAGCAATGCGTCTGTTCAGAGATACACGAGAAAGGAGTGACGCCGGCCTCTGGGGAGGAGCGCAGTTCTGAACTGTGGGCAGCTGAAGTCATCTGGTCCTGCAAGAGCAGGCTTCTGACAGTGCAGCCTGGGAAGTCATTCTGACTCACATCTGCTGACACTTCCTGTCCCTCGACACTTCTCCCCACCCCCCCCCCAACTTGGTAACCTTAAGTCTGCAATGTCAATATTTTACCCCCAGGTGGGAGCATTTCTGATAACTTGTGCTCAGGTAAATTCAGAAAAACAGCACACAGTCTTTTGTGAGCATAATCTTTGCTTCATCCTCCGGCCTGTCACATGAGTTCTAATTGGTCTTAATAAAAAAACCCACAGTCAGATATCGGTGCAAATGCTGAAAGATCAGAGAGAGAAAAGAACAAGCCACAGCCAACTCTTACCTTGGTAACTCCTCAGCAAAAAGAAACCAAGTTCCTGTCTCCCCTTGTCAATATTCCTCTCTCTGCCCAGCCACATCACTTCTTGTCTGTCTGTACAGATCTCCAGACCTTTATGGTTGACTAGTGGCTATCTCTGCCCTCTGATCCTCAGGTAAGCTTTATTTGTTAGAGTATAAACAAGACGTCACCACACGGGACACCACAAACCACTGTGGCTCCATAGCACTGTTCTCTAGGCACATCCTGGAACTGTGTATCTCACTAGCTGATTCTCTCAGCCAGTACCTCAACTCCCTGCTTCCTGCAACTCAGGTGGATCATCAGATTTCTCTTTGTCCAGTCTACAGGTTCTCACATCTATGTTTCTAGTTCAACACAAGTCTCGGGCCTCAGTTTCCCCAAAGCTCTAGGTGACAGGAACCTGCTCAGGTGCTTCAACTGCGCTTTTTGTTACCTTGAGCAAATTCAAGGAACTAAATGCCACAGAGTCAGGCATTGCTGGGGACACAAGTCCAGAAGAAAAGCCATCTCTAAGTTCCTTCCACTCAAGAAGTGTCCCACACATCTTTGGGGGGGGATGTTGATGGACTTTTAGTATGCTTTTTGTTTCCTCACACAAAGGCAAATGTGGGCAGCACATACCAGGTACAGGCTCTGAAAAGATGGCTCTGTATGTGTGTGGTCCTTGAGCTCCCATAGGGTACCCCACCACTGCCCCAGGACGCTTCTGAGGGAAAAGGTAACTGGGGAAACACAGCTGCTCTGATGGTGGCCAAAGAGAAGATCCTGGGAGAAAGGCCATCTGCTGCCAAGAGCTGACACAGGGGAGTGCTGGCCTCTATCCCATCACCCGTACCCCATCTCAGCCCACAACATGATGGTTCAAGCCTAAAAAGGCAAAACTTGTGAGTCAGTCTATCTTGCTTCCTGCCCCCAGTTGCTAAATTCCTGCCAAATTCCTCCTCCCCCTCTTCTTCGCCCCCCCCCCCACTCTCCTGTCTCTGCCATCCTCTAAATCAGGCTCCTTAAGTAGCCTCAAAAGTCCCCTCAGTTCCACAGACTGTCCTTTGTTTCTCTGAGGAGCCACAGGGGACTTCATAACACAGGGCCAGGGATACCTTGGGACACAAGCTAGACAGAAAAGTCTTGGTATCTACAAGATTGTGACCCAGAAATTGCTTCCTTCTTCTTCCTTTGATCCCAAGCCCCACCCTTGTGGTAGGGTCTCTGGCCATAAGGTCTTTATGCCCCATCTTAAAGACAGGCCTTGAGGAAGACTTGAGAAACTGAGGCCCAGTCTCTCCTTTGTCTTTGTCCTTGGGCCAAGTCACCGCCCAAGGGCCAGGCATGACTCCAGGAGGGGAAAGAAAAGCCAGAAAGGGGCTGAGAGACAGGAAAGCTCTCCTGAAAGACTGGTGGTGTTGTCAAGCTCCTCTAAAAGATGATAAAGGGGACCTCAGTACCCCAGTTTATTTACATTTGTAGCTGACATGAGCAAGTTGCTTATCTCCAGTGTCCTCATTCCAAAATTACACACAACCATGCAGACAAGCGGTAGCTCAGTACAAATCACACCTAGTTCTCCCTCTTACACACAAACTAGCCAGCAAAGAGACGGAGAGACCCTCCATCTGTTTCAGAGGGAATGGGACACCCAACCCAGCTAGGGTTTCTCTAACTCTTGGCCTAGGAACTTGTTCTTTGTCTACTTAGATCCTTCTTTCTGGTGCTTGCCCAGGGACTCTGGGATGGCCCTGTCAGGCTACTTTGTCGTCTATAGGGCACAGGATCTGAGGGCTGCTGGCTCTCAGGTCCTTTTGTGTTAAAGGATTAATAAGCAGGCCTGGGCCAGGGTTACAGCCTCTGTGCACACTGGGACAATTCCTTGTGCTATACCTCCTGTTGGCTTTGATGACAGAGGTGCCCCCTCCCCATGGTAAAGGTCACTCTGAGCATGCTCATCTTGGAAAGGTTGTCTATGTTCCATCTCTTATTGACTGGTAAACCTTCTTCTGGGGGCATAGGGGTTCTTGACTTTTGGGATTGCCATGAGGACTGTGGGTGCAACTGCTTCCTGGAATTTGAAGGCTATGGAGGACTCAGTCTTCTCAAAGTCTTGGAGCGCCCTCTAGGGGCAGCAGTTTGCAAGTTGGAACCCATGTGCTGTTTCATTGTGCCTAATCCAACCAACCTCCCAACTCCCTCTCTCCTTCCCTCCCTCCCACTCATATACAAGAGCTCCTTTGGACCAGACCTTGCTGGACCACAGAAATGATAGGCTCAAGCCCTGTTCACACCCAGCATCACTTAACACTACATTCATTAATAACTGAAGTCTATGGTTGGTTCCCACATCCCACCTCTGAGTAGCAGAACTCTGTCTTGTCTTTAGAATCCCTGCCCCTGCTGTTTGCCAGTCTCCCATCTCACCCCATGCTGGGAGCCTGCTGAGGACAGACTGAGACCCTGATGCTGGTGATCCTCAGAAACACTGGGAGAGCCTCAACACCCAGGAGGACTGGCCTGAGAGCAGGATGCTAGTGCATCAGAAGTACTAGGCAAAGGGTGAGAAGACTACTCTGCCCTTTCACATTTGCCACCTGGGGGGACCTCAGATGAGTCAGTTGTCATTTTAGCTCATCTCCAGGTCCGCAGGTCTTGTCTAGCCCCAAAGGTGGCCCTTGTGCTTGGTAGACACAATGAGAGGTGTTGAGTCTGGGGGGTTGATAGGAAATGACTCACTGACTGGGAATCAGGCTGACTCAGAAGAAGGGAGAGTTAGGGCCCAAGGCCTTCCTGGGCCAGCCTTGGGCATAGGGAGGCTGGAGGGGAAACATGGATACAAGGGGAGGCAGAAGGGTGTGATGGGCTCAGAGCAGAAAGGAGCCCCAGCTTCTCACTCAAAGGTTCTGGAGGAATTCTGTTTGCTGTGTGACTGTGTGCATGGTCACAATACTTCCTGTGGGAGGCCTGGAACTCACCAGGGGCTAAGACCTGCTCAGAAGAAACAAACTGTGTGTGTGTGTGTGTGTGTGTGTGTGTGTGTGTATGTGCACATACACTCCAGTGTTTACACTCATGTTCTAATGCAAGTGGCTACATTCATGCCTTGTCCACAATGACATAGAACCAAAAGGGGGACCTAGTCCAGTTCCTGGGACAGAACCTTAAGTGCCTGGCTTTAAGTCTCTCTTCTTTCTCATTTTAAGCTTGGGGCTCATGACAGAGAAGATGTTCTGGTGAAAGCATAGAAATCTGAATGCACTGGGATTTCAGAGCAGAGGGGGAGGCATGGGGAGGTCCCAGATCCCTTGGCAAATGCTTCTAGTTAGCAATGGAAATCAAGTCAAGCTAATGGGTTTTCTTGTCCTCATATCCCAGGCTATGTCAGAGAAGACACCATGTAAGGAATGAGAGCAGCTGCCCCCCCCTCCTCCCCCCTCCCCCGTTCATGACTCACTGGACTGGAATTTTCTCCTCCAGCTCTGGTATTTGCTTGGAACTGGAGACTGGAGGCTGTGGGTCCTTAGCAGAGCTGTAGTGGAAAACAGAAAGGGCAGGGAGGATGGGAGGGAGGAAGAGTCTGTTAATGGTGTAGGAGAATTTGTCTCCTGTGGCTTTCTCACCAAAAGTTATCAGGCTAACACTTAGGATGGACAACGGAGACACTCCCTCTTATGACAGTGCGCTTCTCCGATCCCATCCCACTATCCACTCACTCACTCACTCACTCACTCACTCACTCACTCACTCTTCACCAAATAATTACGCAGGAAGCTGGGGAGATGGTTCGGCAGATAACCTGAGTTTGATCCCTGAAACCCATATAAAAATCCGGAGAGGGAGAGATGGTCCTCTACAGGGAGGAACACATCAATTGGTTGTCCAATGCTAAATGGTCAGCCCTGAAAACATACATACAAGTGACAATATAGGGACTCAACAGGTTATATTTAGAAATATATGCATATATACAAACACATATATGCATGCTATAATAATTCATGAAAAAAAAGAGGACATGAATTTGAAGGTGAGCAGGAGATGTATATAGGAGAGTTTGGAGGAAAGAAAGGGAAAGGAAAAATTCAATTAAATTACAATCTCAAAAAAAAAATCTGTTCGTAGAGGCATGTGTCTATAATTGCAGCACTCCCGTGGTGAGATGGGCGGTGACAGGTGACTCAGTGGAATGTCACAGTCCAGCTCATCTGTGGTACAATGTATGGAAGCAATAGGACAAACCCTGCCTCAAGAGAGTAGAAGGTGAGAACTGACTCCTGGAAGTTGGGTTCCCGATGGAAGCACATTTGCAGGACCCCGCGTGTGTCTCCTCTGCCTGGCTGGGCCTTGAGCACAGGCACTGGCCGTTCTGAACCTGAGAACAGGCGTGGCATTCAAGTGCTTCCTGTTCCTATGCTGGACTCAGGCCCCTTTGTTTCTTCATAGAGAAAGGAGGGGCATGCGTGCACATCTGAGGGGCAAAAGATGGACCTAGGAGGATGGAAAAGAAAGACACCCATGGGAGGGGTCTGGGTATGGGAGAATGGGCAGAGAAGGTTTGAACACAGAGCTCTCTGAATCCAAGACCTGGTGTACTGAGGGGTCTCTCATCTACCAGACATCCCACACCTGCCCTTATGAGCTTGACACCACTACCCGGGCTTTCCTTTCTCAGGACAAGACCCCCCCACCCAGCTCCTTAGGATCTCTGCTTTAAACTGTCGGATGGTGGAACCGATGCCTCAGACATACCACTGGTGCCAATAGAGCACCCAGGCACAGTTTTACCATGATGGGAACAATAGTGAGGTCATAATATAACTGGAGTCTTAGGTCAGAGGCCTGACTCCACAGGTTCTGTGATGGCTGGACTGATAAGGGACCTCAGAGGCTCAGGAATTTGAACACTTGCAACCCCACAATGACACTAGAGGAAGTGTATCATTGAGAGGGGTGGTCTTTGAGAACATAAAGCTCCACTCTACTTCCATTTACATTCTGCTTTGTGTTTGCCATTGAATGTGAGAGTTCAGCTTCTTGCTCTGGCCGCCATGCCTGCTGTGGACTGTTATGCCTGCTGCGTGCTGGACTATCATCCCTCGAGAACAGTAAGCCCAAATAAACCCGTCCTTCTCTAACTTGCCCTGGCCGTGGCATTTCACTCAGACAGGTTCCCACATGTCAAGCTTGCCCCAGAAAAAATGAGCAGAAATCATGGTGAAAATACAGGAAAGGGTTTTTAATAACATCACTAAGGGGGTAGAAAGCAAGTGTTTGAGCCCATCTTTGGAGCACTGACGTGAGCTCTGGGTTTAATAGACCAAGAGCTGGACCAGGAGGCAGGTGGAGGTGTGGTGTTGTTACCAAGTGCTCTGTTCTGGCTCTGCACAGCGGTGAGAAGCAGTCCTTAGTGCCTGAGAAGACAAGCCATGTCCTTTGATGGCCATGGCTTGGGCACCAGGGTGGGCTGTGCATAATCTCATCACCAGGTGACCCACTTGTAAGGCTCTGCTGGTCTGGAATCTAAGAGGTGACTGTAGGATTAGGACAATGACTAAAAACTTTTGGGGTCTGGAACAGGACATTATAAAGGCTAAAAGTAAAACCAGGATCACTCTTTGCTGTGTGCTGTCATGAAGTAGGGTTGGGGGCGATGAGATAGGGTAGGTGTCACTTGGCTTGACACTGACACTCTCCTGGAGTGATTAATGTGCAAAGGTGTGGTCTAAAGTTTGGACAAAGACAGATGCAAACTCAAGTAGAAAAGCCAGATGTTTACCTTGCTCCGCATTACCTCATGGGCCCATGTGAGGAGCAGGTTTTTTTTTTTTGAGATTATAATATAATTACACCATTTCTCCTTTCCCTCTGGACTCTCCCATATACCTCTTCTTGCTCTCTTTCAAATTCATGGCTTTTTCTCACTAATTGTTGTTATATGCATATATGTATGTGTATATACATATACATTCCTACATACAAGCTTCTCTGTCTGTGTAATGTTACTCATATGTGTGTTTTCGGGGCTGGCATCTGGTATTGGAGAACCAGTTCATGTGTTCTTCCCTGGGAGATCCTCCCACTCTCAGCATTCCTTAGTTGACTGTGGTTCTTTGTGTAAGGTTGGGGCCACACAGGCTTGCTCTTGTCTACTTTGGCATGTCTATTGTCCTTGCTCAGCTCATATTTGGTCAGTCATGTTGCTGAGACTTTATGGGTATAGCTTCTGACATGAGACAGTCTCACAGCAAACTCCCTGGTCCTCTGAAGCTAGCACTTTTTAACAAAAGAAACCCTCTCTCCTTCATCTCTTTTCTTTCCCTTCCTTTGTGTTTTGAAATGGTCTTACTGTAGAGCACTGACTGGCCTGGGTCTTGCTGTGCACACCAGGCTGACCTCAGCTTAGCAGCAACCCTCCTCCCTCTGCTTCTGGAGTGCTGGGATTATGGATGTGCACACTCACATATTAACTGAGTGCTGGGATTACAGGTGTGCACACTCACATCTGGAAAAGAAATGTCTAGGTAGCTTTTACAGCGATGATTTATCTAGCAGCATCCGACATAGTTGTGCTCTATGTGTGCTGAATAACTTTGTAGTTTTTTTTAAATATGTGTATGTATGTCTGTGACCATGTGCATGCCTGCTGCCCTCAGAGACCAGAGGAGTGTGTCAGACTCCCTCAAGCTGGAGTTACAGCAGTTGTGAGCCAGTATGTGGGTTTTTGGAACCAAATCTGTGTCCTCTCCAAGAGTAACAAGTGCTCTTAACTTCCGATCCATCTCTCCAGCCCCACTTTGTATTAATTTTAAAGGATTGCTTTTGGAGCTCACTGTATCCATCCTATTGTAGACAAAGGAGTAGAGGGCAAGCATTTAGCCAGATGCTTTTGATCTGGTTTTATTGTTACACACTAGCCAGTCTTCTGTCCTACAGCTGCTGACAAATGACTGCTCCAAGGAGAATACCAACTTGTGTAGGCTGGAACTACTTGGGGACAGACTGTCCTTCCAAATCTTAATGGTTTCTGTCCATGAACTTGATGAATTAGATACATCCACTTTGTTGCTTTGGGCGCGCACTACTTCATACAGGCATGCTGGGAAGTTGCCCTGCTGTGATGCCTACATCACAAACCTGCTTACCTGCATCTGAGCACTTGGGGGATCTTCTGCTAAATGCAGACACTCAATTTCAATCTAGGCCCACAGAGTCTGGCTCTTGGGTGGTGGAAATCTGGAACTATGTCTTTTACCCAAGATTTATATGAACCACTGAATGGTGTCCCTATGCTTTGGATGTTTAGTGCCCCCAAAGGGCTCTGTTAAAAGCTTTGTCCTCAGCCTGTGGTACTGTGGGAGGTGGTGGCAGTTTCAGGAAGTGGGTCTAGTGAAAGGAAGCTCCACCAGTCTTGTAACCTTGAAGGAACATGAGGACCCTTACTCCTTCCTTGTTTTTTTATTTCTAAGGTTCTACCAGGCAAGCAGTTTTCTCCATTGTAATATATTGTCCACCACAGGCAACTGGGCCAAGAGACCAGGAACAACAAGGAGCCAGAGTATTGCCTCTGTGTAAATCATCTCTCTCAGGCTTTTTATCAGAGCAATGGAAAGCTGATTTGACACAAATAGTTTAAATGAGTGTTTTCTAGAGTTTCCATAGCACAAGTGTTTAAGTTGCTTCACACATTCATCTCAGGAAGGTTCTGTGTTGAAGAACTTGGAGGGTGTGGAAGGTTGCTTGGCATGCCAAGGCAGTTCTGGCAATCTCTCACTAAGCAGCGGTAAGATGCACTAACAGAAAAAGGACCATCGAAACCATTATCTTTTTACATTTACTCTTGTGTTGTAAAATGATAAAACCAGATGCAACCAAATAGAAATGATGTCTAGAGAGATGAAGAGAGACGATTTTGTCTCCCCCTGAGGTTGTTGTGGATAACACCACTGTGGTCATGGCTTTATAGACCAGGAGTCTTGAAAACAATATCTGGCCCTTACCCAGCTCCTCTGAATCCACCAGGAGGCAGTGAGGCAGGTGAGCATCTTGGCTGGTGAACCTCCATGAGACCCACTAATGGGGTTAGTCTGTGCTATCTGGGAAAGTGATGGGCTCACTTCATCACCATGATGTAGGCAGTGCAAACTATCTAAAGCAGGAGAGATTTGCTAGGTATCAGGGTTTTGGAGGATTCAGTCCATAGCCAGCTGGATTCACTGCCACAGGCCTTTGGTGAGGCACAGCATCTCATAGTGAAGTGATCTATTCCACTAGGAGGCAGAGAGAGTGGGAGGAAGACTCTGGGGATAGGGTGTGCCTTTGCAAAGCATACTTGCAGTGACCTACTTGTTCCAAGGAGGCCTCATTGATAAGTTAATCCACTGCAGTTAGTTCATGATCTAATTAACCATCATAGCTGGGGACCAAGCCTTCAACACACAAGCATTTGGTGGGGGTTGGGGGAGGGACATGTCATATCTCAGCTGCAGCATCTATTTAAGAAATGGTATGCTTGCATTGGGGCTTGTCTGTCACTCATCAACATGACTGCTGAGACGAGTCAAGAAAGGGTTGGAAGTCACATGGTCTACCCATTTTTCTTTCTGCTCAGTAATTCACTGTAGAATAAAGCTGGGGCTGTCCTGAGGGCTAACCCATGCTTCACAGAGTCAGGTCTTGGCATGCCCTTCCCTGCTAGCACAGGGTACTTAAAAAAACCAAAAATGGGCAGCCATTGTTAAGGACATGACAGACATAGGACATCTCTCGACATCATTTATTTGACATAAGTCAGAATCTTTCAGTAGAGTTAAGCATTGTGCTGGTTAGGTTTGCAAACTTGACAGGAACCTAGACACGTCTGGCAAGAGGGAATCCCTTCCATCACACTGGCCTGTGGACATGTCTGTGGAGGTATTTTCTTAATTGCTAATTGATGTAGGAGCGCCAGCCCACTGTGGGTAGTGCCACGCTTAGGCAGGTGGCTGGGCCGTGTAAGAAAGACAGCTGAGTAAGCCAGAGGGAGCAAGCCAGTAAGCAGCACCCTCCATGGCCTCTGCTCCAGTTCCTGCCTCCAGGTTCCTGCCTTGAGTCTTTGCCTTGGCTTCCATTGAGTATGGACTACAACCTGTAAGCCAAATGGACACTTTCCTCCCCATGCTGATTCTGGTCAGTGTTTTATCATGGCAGCAGAGACACAAACTGGGACTAGCATTGATAAAAGTTGTGTCAGCGCACAACTACAAACCAGTGTGGTTTCTTCTTTGACAGTGAAAACAACTGTCTCTGGGTTTCCTTCTAAACTGGTGAAACTGTTTCCTTCTAAACAGTTCTGTTTAGAACTCTGGCCTCCCTCTCTGGAGTCTTTGCCTCCTAAAACTGGCTTTGTTATTCTTGATCCAGTGTTTTATTTTTCAGACAGACAGACACATGATTCTGATTTACAGCTTCCGGGCAAGCTGCTTAAAGTCCCACTGAGGAGGGAGGACACTCGGAGAAAAGGGTGAACAGGAGGCAGACTTCCCTCTGTCAGGGTTATGCTTAAAATTAGGAATTTTTATTGTTTTGTTCTGTTTTTGTAGCCCAGGTTGGTGTTGCTTCAAGTTTGTGGCAATCTTCCTGCCTAACCTGCTGAGCTCCGGATAACAGGCATTAGCCCATACCACGCCTGTCTGCTTCCTAGTCTTTAAAGGCCCACATGGAAGGTTAAATTCAGAGTTTCCAAGACTTAGAAATGTCTATACAAGTTTGTTTTGGCCCAGCTCTTCCAGACCTGGTCTTCTGGGAAACCCCCACCCACTCTGGAGGGAGGATCAGCTGGAGATTCTGCTCTTGGCCACCAGAGGACAATGCAGGACAAGTTGACTGCCAGCTCTCTGGCTCTTTAAAGCAGTTGGTCCTTCAGGTGGCAGGTTTCTAAGACCCTGCTTCTTCCCAGGCCCTGCCAGGGCCCCCAGGATGTCAAAGGATGTTCTGATTTGCTCCCATGTTGCTGCTAACTGAGTAAAAAACTAAGATACTACAGGCAAGTCTTAGCTGGCTTGAGCTTAGGGTATGGAGTCACTAGCCCTGGCCACACTGCTCACTGTCTGGAGACCATAGCAAGCCCCACAGAATGAGCTACATGCTACTCACTTGACAGGTCAATTTAGAGGTGGAAAGGGGTCATGTGTGAAGAAGATTCCAGAAGAAAAAGTACCCTCATTACTGTGTAGGTCAAGTTTGGGTGCATTCCATATACTCTCTCACACACCAGTAATGTCTCCTGTGCCAGGGGGTCCTAGGAGACTGAGTTACCCATGTTCCTTCTCTCAAACACTATGGGATGCTAGAGGGGCCCCTGAGACACAAGGAGGCTGCTCCAGGCAAAGAGACCTCGACTTCCTTATCTATGGCAGCCAATGACGTCCAACACCTGCTCAGATCTGTTGGATGTCATCCTACTTGTGACCCCAACACTTCCTCCCCTCCATATGTACGGGTCCCTGCTCCCTCTCTGTGTCCTCAGACGAAGCCTGTTGGACACTTTACTCACCAGGCAGAGCCTGTGACTCCTCATGGTGTAGTAGAGAGACCGGTCTAGTCAGGGGCTCCCTCAGGGAGACGTGCCGGGTTGGGGGCTTTGATCGAGGTGGGGATTCTGGAAGCTGGGACCTCTCTTCGCAGGCCCTTGCCCAGGGGGCTCTGGTGTCACTATAGTCAGATTCTGTATCAGAGCTAGAAGAAGGAAGAGGAGGGTGAGCCAGCTGTTCTGGAACCCCACCCCCACACTCCGTGTCCTACCCATCACCTCCTCTGACAGTCCTCGGGCACCTGGAGCAAGAGTGTCAGCTCAGCTACCTCTGGCCCAGACTTGGCTCTGCCATGTCCTGGATTATGTCTCCCTAGATTCCTAAGCTAAAGGGGTGACTCCCAACACCTCAGCATGTGGCTGTGTTTAGAGAGAGGACCATTAAAGAGAAGATTAAGTTAAAATGAGGTCATTATGGGGGTCCTAATCCTATGATTGGTGCCCTTATAGGAAGAAACTGGGATATAAGTGTACACAGAAGGTGATTATCATTGCAAACAGGAAGGTGCCATCTACAGGCCAGGGAGAGGCTTGAGATAGATCCTTCGCTCAGAGGCCCCAGGGGAATTCTCCCCTGACATCCTTTCATCTTATACTTGTCACGTGACAGTTTCCTCCAATATTGAAATATTCCATCCTGCAGAGAATCTCCTTAGGCAAGAAAGTAAACAACTCAAAGTAGCTTCGGGAAGTCCCCGAATCTGACTAGATTCGCTAAGCCCCACCCCGCCAGAGTAAGCTGAGAATTCCCCTCAGGTGAGAGAGAGCTGAACAGGCAAGAAAACTCAGACAAGCTGATGAAAAGAAGGCTCTGAGAGCAGACTGCCTGGAAGGAGCAGAAACCAGCTGAGATGCCCAGAAGAGGTTTAGACCAACCGAGGCACTTGGAAAGGACACTCTCCAGCCTGTTGAGCTGCCTACATGCTGTGCGGTGCTCTCCAGATTCCCAGCTTTGTGAGCCATCACCCATGCTGGGATGGGCTTTGTTGATGCAGCTGTCTTTGAGTCATTTCTGCTCCTTATAGTTAACCCCTCACCCATTTTCTTCTAGGTAACCCCAATATAACTAACTCATGATTCACCAAGTTGGACTTTGGTAACATGAATAAGTAAATGACCCAGAGACTGATATTTGGGTTCAAACTTCAAGCTGAAAATCAGAAAAGCAAAGCAGCCAGCCACTAGCTTATATATATATATGTATGTATATATATATATATAATTTTAAAATTTAAATTAGAAACAAGGTTGCTTCACATGTCAATTCCAGGTTCCTCTCCATCTCCCTCCCCTCCTCCTGTGCCCTCCTACCAACCCCCCAATATCCCCTCATTTCCCCAGGGAGGGTGAGGCCCTCCATGGTGCTGGGGATTGAACTTAGGCCTGATACATGCTAGGTAAGTACCACTGAACTACACCCCAGCCTCCCAATATAATCCCTCCTTAACCCGTTATTGGACTTTCCATCCCATTCATGCACCATTCCCACTGCTCCATCTGACAGCTAGCTCCAGACCCCATCTGGGTGAGCCCAGCATGGCCACTACTGTCTCACAGAGGCCCCTTAGTTACTGGACCACATGTGATGGGAGGGCGTAACTCACTCGCTCAGGTGCTACTCTGGCACTCTGTCATTGTGAGACTCAGTAACTGACACAGAAACCTTTCCTGGCTATCCAGTCTAAGGTAACCATCCCGACCCTGCTTATAACACAACCCCACTTTATTTCTCTACCTGGCACAACCCATACGTGATATTTTTCTTGTTTAATGTTTCCTTGTTTCCCTGGCTGTCTACCCAGGTGATGAAGATATCAGATAGCAGGGACCTCACCTGGTGCATGAGTCACAGTTACACACTCAGTGTCTAGGCATTACTAAGCAGTTGATACTGAGGCTGTTCTGAACATACTCAGTGTATGTGGGAGCTGGAGAGGCCCGAAGGCTGTGCTTCTCATAATCACAGTTGGTGCAGATTGGATGCTGGGAGCATGAGAACAGTTTCCTCCTCTCTACCCATCTTGGCCTCTCCATCACCATGTATCACAGCATTGGGGGACCCCAGGAGCCTCTCCCTGTGACAGTGCCACTCATTTGCAGCCCTCCATGTGCCAGGATCTTTCCCTTCTCTGAGAAAATAATGACCACACAGCCTTATAGGATTTACTACGTATGCACCAAGCAATATTTGGCACGTGTCAATTCTTTGCACCTTATAGCTCCTTCAGAGGTAAGACATTATGGCGGTCCCCATTAACAGATGAGGAAAGAAAAGTGGATCCCAGCTGCAATCTGCCCCCACCATCACCTTGATGCTGTTCCATCCTTCAGCAATCTGGGCATACCTGCTGTCCTCACTGGTGACCAGGACACGTACAGCCAGCACGTCCTGCCCAGCCACATTTTCCTCAGGGCCAATCCTCACTGAAGTCCATTCAGAGGGTCGGGGAGAGGTGACTTCAGGTTCCATGTCTCTGGGAGTGGGCTCAGGGACACTCTTTGGCTTCTTGGGGGAAGTGGGCTCATCTGCTGAGAGAACAGTGCCTATAGAGATAGTGGAACAAAGGGCTCCTCCAGGCATCTGGATAGGATGCTAGAAAGGAAGCCTGTGGTCCACTCAGATGCTCAGGGACAGAGCTTCCGATCCTCTGTGCCACTGGTGAGTGCCACCTCTCTGCCTAGCAGATGCCCCAATGCTTAGGGCACTCCTGATGTGTGTAAGGCATGAGTACACATACCATCCCATGTAACCTGGAGGGAGGTGCTGAGATGTCCTCAGGGTCCATCACAGGCGCACTGGCCTCTGGACAGCTTAGTTCAAACTGCCTCTGCCAGTGTCTTGTTAAACTCAGGGGTGACATCATAGATCTCATCTTTAAAAATTGTTTCTACCAGCACTCAGGAGGCAGAGTTAGGAGGATCTCTGTGAGTTTGAGGCCAGCCTGGTTTACACAATGAGTTCCAGGTCAGCCAGAGCTACACAATGACACCCTGTCTTAAAAATTAAAACAGTTTCTTTTCTTTTTTTTTTTTTGCAGGGCAGTGGTGGCACACTCCTTTAAATCCCAGCAATTGGAATGCTGAGGTAGACAGGTGTCTGTGAGTTCAAGACCACTCTGATCTACAAATAGAGTTCCAAGACAGCTAGGACTGCACAGAGAAACACACAGAGAAAAACAGTTTCTATTTTCATATGTGTGTGGTGTATACACATGTGTGTATGCACAGCTTTACATGTGTATGGAAGCACACGTGTGTGAATGCATATGTATGTGTGTACATGTGCATATGGAGGCCTGAAGTTGATATCTGGAATCTTCCTTGATTGCTCTTCTGCCTTATCCATTTATACAGGATCTCCCAATCAAACCCAGAGCTCAGAGATATGGCTAGTTTTACTAGCTGGTTTACTTTCAGAGTCCCCTATCACCATCTTCTGAGGCTGTAATTACATAGGGGCCACCGCTCCTACCTGGCATTTCTGTGGCTCTGAACTCATGTCCTCATGATTGCACGACCAGCAACCTCCACAGCTCTTCAGTTCTCATCCTATTGACCTTGTGACCTAGCCTGTCAAGCTCTTCCACAAAAGGCTCCTCAGCTCCCAGACAGCTCTTTCCAGCTCCTCCTTCCTTTGTTCTAGTCTTGTCTCTACTCAGCCATTAATTTCACCTGCTCCCATGAGTCCCAGTGACCCTGGACAGTGAGGAGTCCCAGATCTGTATCCACAGCCTGGACGCTTCCCCTGCATCTAGATGAGAGTCTCCCATTCTTGACACCTCCATGTGGGTGTCTAGCAGACACTTCATATGCAGCAAGTCCAATGTGAATCCTCTGTCTTCACTTTTCCCAGCACCGTGCCCAGCTCAGTCAGTGGCATCTGGAGCCCTCTGAAGCCAAGGTGTCTTAGGCTGGCACCACAATGGCATACTTGATACCACCATCCTTCACCAAGCCCTGTACAAGTGCGGATGGCTCTTCCCTCAAATGTGCCAAGAATGGAGTCTTCCCTGGGCTGGCCCCATCTTGTCCAGATGATAGAAACCATCTCTCTCTGGACCCCCAGCTCTTTCCTGCCAAGCTCTGCCCCTGAGATTTTCAACAGCAGCCAGAGTCACCCCTTGAAAACACAAGTTGGGGCATGGCATGCCTGCTCTAGATCCCCTGAGAGGGTCCTCATTTCACCCTGAGGAGAAGTGGAGGAGCCCCATCCAATCCAGCTCTGTGGCCTCTGTGACCTCTCTTCACAGTGTCGCTTGGCTTGCTCTGCTCCTGCTGTGTCACCACTGTGCTGTCCCCTCAGGCCTCAGGCAGGTGCCATCTCAGGCCCCTCACGTTGTCCTGGAATCTGTTACTCAGAGCTGTCCCTGGATACTCCTGTCACTGCCTGTAAGCATTGGTCAAATGTCACCTTCTCAGTGTTGGAGTGTGTCCTGCTGAAGGTGGCCACATGCTCTGTTCCCTTCATAGTGAGTCTTGCCTTCTAATAAGCTGTATAATCCCTCTTTTGTTTGCTGTCTTGTCCCAGGACTAGCGTGGGCAGTGCTTTGTCTGTTTTGTTTGTTGTAAGATCATGCCTTGTAAACTGGTGCTCATGAAATGCCTGTTGAGTGGATGAATGCATGAGCCCAACTCCAGCCTGGCCACTAGCTAGGTGGGGAGCCTTCTCCTGTCACAGGGAAGCAGCTGCCCATGTTCCTTCTAGAACTAGATCTCAGCTGGACTTGGCTCCCTCTCACTTCTTGCCCCCAATATGGCTCTCTTTCCGTGTTCTTGACTTCACCTACTGGCTTGGTTTCATCTGTGATTAATATACAGGAGGCCCCGCCTCCAGCCCATTTACTCTCCTCTCATTCCTGGCCAACCTTGGAAGAGCTGGGCAAGTTTTCTCGGTTCCTTTACCAATCCCTACAATTCTGATGAGAGCTTTACCTCTCTAGCCTCTTGCTTCTAGAAAACTCACTGGAGCTTGCTTGTTGCTAAATCAAGTTCACAGAATTTTTCCCCCCTGAGGTTCTTCTCTGGCCCTTGACTCCAACCCTCCTCTACGGACAGTCTTCCTTTCCTTGTCTCTCCATCTCTGCCCTTCAATGTTGTATCCTTCATGTTTCACCCAAGCCACTTCTGATCACCCCATACTCCCTGGGAGAGGCATCTGCGTAGCTGCATTTGCCACCTATCAAGACAATTCAAGGAGTCGGAGCTTTCTGTGAAATTCCTGAGGTTTTAAAATACTATAAGGTCAAATAAAATGTGAGTGCAGGCAGACCCAGCCAGTGGGCTGCCAGCACCCCGAAGTGTGTGCAAACTTGCTTATGTGTACCCATGCCTATGCTTCTATGCTGGTGCAACTGGAAGGAGGTATCTGAAGACTGTTACTGGCCTGCTTTGCTAATGGTGATGGTAGTGACAGTTGTGGTGATCACTGTGCTAAAGTGGTTGTGATGGGAGTTGTGGGGTAACAGTGATGCTGTTTTGGGTGGTGATTGTGGTGTTGGTTATAGTGAGGGTGTTATATATGGTGATATCAGTGGTGGCTTGGTTTTGCTTGTGTTTGTAGTGATGGTTGTAATAAGAGTAGTGGCTGTTTATTTTATTGGGTCCCCAGGATATGCCAGGGACAGTTGAGCACTGACTTGTACTAAGTTTGTAACTCAGATAATCCTTCAAGTAAAGCACTTTGTGACCCACATTTTCTTGCTGAGATAGGTTAAGATACCCACAGATGGTCATGTGTTGCCCTTCTGTATGTCTGTGAACATGATAGAACTATTTGTTCAGTTAGACAGAGTCACACCCCATCCTTGATGTTGTAGTCCTTCTGAGAGTAGGCAGAATACACCCCTGCCCCAGCAATGTACCACCTGTCTGCCTCAGACCAGTGGATTTTTGTGACCCATGTGGGCCAGGGCTTTGAGTGGCCTTGCTGAGTTGAATTGTCACTCACGTTCCTGTTGAAAAGGTTTGTTTCTGATGGCTGCTGTCCTGTCAGCCTGGATCCTCAGTTTAAGGTACATGGAAGGACAGACCTGGAGCCCATCCTTAGACATCCAACTTGTAGAGTCACCCAGCAACCCTTAGACTCATGAATAGGAAGCAGAAGAGACTACACACACCCCTGAAATTGAGAGATTTCAGAGTCACTCTGGTTTGGGGCTTAAAGAAATTCCTCTTGCTGCCCCTGCCCCCATGGACAAAAGTTGAGGATGAAACACATGGAGGGAACGAAAGGCATCAGGATACAATATAGAACCCCAGCCAAAGAGCTCAGCAGAGGAAGGTCATGGAAGGCAAGGAGACATGGTGGCGTTGGACAAAGTGAAGGGGCAGCTTTATCAGATCCCAGAGGCCAAGGTCACTGCTATGACATTAAGGGTGGGGTGTCCGGAGTAATACCCTGATTTCTCTTTTGATCCCATCCCACCCTTCCACTGGTGCATCCTGGTCTCAGACCTAACAGGAAGCTAGTTCAAGGCACCCGGGAGAACAGTTTGCAGGGGTTACGCCTCTGCAGCATAGGGCTACAGGAGATGGCAGAGCACACAGGTAGCACAGACATGCAGATGTATGTTTATGATGCTATGCACAGAGTGGGCTCCCCAGCCTCTTGTAATGTGGACTGTGACCAGTGATGGGGAGATGAGGCATTGGCAGATGACAGAGCTTGAGCAGGCAGCCCTTTCACACATTACCAGACGTGTTATAACTGCCTTGGGAGGAAGATTTGTCCCTGGCAGTGCCAAGATCCTCAGCAGGACATGTGTTCAAAGACACTGCTGCTACCCCAAGGGCTTCTGAGAGTTACTCACATTTTCTAATGGGATAGAGTGTCTTGGGAGGTTCAGAGATGAATACATGGATAGGTAGCCCTGGGGTCTCTGGGTCTGTCCTCCACCCTGAAGCCCGGTCACTCTGTTTGCTGTGCTTTCCCCAGGTGTCATAGACCCAGTGTGTGTGTGTGTGTGTGTGTGTGTGTGTGTGTGTGTGTGTGTGTGTGTGTGTGGGTGGGGGTGGGGGTGGGGAGGTGTGTGGAGTATGGATACACAGCTCCACCCTCTGCTGAATGAAACCAAGATAGATAACATTACTTAGAGGGCCCTCCTTGGCCCCAGCTAAAGCCTAACCAAAGAGATAGACACATTCGGCTAAATGAACATGGGAAGAAGCTATTCCCATCCAGATGGAAGCCACGCCTCTGCCCAGAGAGGAAGGGAACCAGGCCCAACCTGATCCTGTGACCTCAGTGGAATTTACCTGTTCCCATCCCCGACCCTTCATCCTAAATCATGAGCCAGACACTAGGGAAACTCTAGCCTCACATGGATCCTGAGAACAAATACCAGCTTCCAGACCTTGGGGTGAGGGTGATGGTGGTGGTGGGGGTAGGGAAGTGAGGAGTGGGGGTGAGGGGGTGGGTAATGATGTGGTTCAGTAGGTGTATTTGTTTTTCTTCCTAATGTAGTCACATTGCATACCTTTCTGTTACTAGTCTGTTTAATTGGTTTATTGAGGACAAGTGGTTGAGCCTGGGTTGTTAGGACTTCTAGGGTCCTGGCTCTGTCTCTAATAACTATGGTAACAAGATGGGAAGTCGAGGACCTGGAATTTCTGGAAGGTATTTCCCCACCTCCAGCAGCAATCTGGGAAGGCAGGGAGGGAGGCAGCCTGTGTGTTACCCTCCTTCTCAGGCCAGTGTTAAGGTCAGAGGGAATGGTAGGCTTTGCCATAGTCCAGTTGGGGTCTACACTTGGATAGGTAGGTTGATGAGACAGATCTGAGAGCAGTTCAGGACTCCCACACAGTTGAGAGT